AGGGGGTGTGAGAGGACTCAACAAAGACAGGGTGGGGAACAGAACAAGCGGATTGGCCGAAACATACTGCTGAGGGGACCTGCGGGCCAACCAAGAGAGGTCTGCTGCACCCATGAGGGTCACCTCCCTGGCCAGGGATCAAACTCAGGCCATAGTGGCTGCAGATTGCTTCACAGTGCTGTGCTTAACCCCTTGCACCATCAGGGAGGCCCCCCCCACCTTTTTTTTTTTTTTAAAGCTTTATTTGTTTATGCATACAAGAGCTAGGGTGTAAACCAGAGGTGGGAGAGGTGAGGGGATTCACCAGACACAGAGTGGGGAGCAGAACAGGTAGATCTACTGAAATACACTGCTGAGGGGAACAGTGGGCGACACAGGAGAGGTCTGCTATGCCATGTGGGTCAACTCCCTGGCCGAGGATTGAACTCGGTGGTGTGGAGGCTCTCGATAGCTTCATAGTGTTAAGACTTAACCCCTTGTGCCACCAGGGAGGCCCCCATTCCATTTTTTGTTTTTTGTTTTTGTTTTTTAAGGAAAACTATGAAAACCACAACCTTTTAAAATAGATTTCTGGTCATTTCCATTAAGAGCTGTGGCATAGTCATCATTTAATAATTTACTTAGGTTTGGTGTTTCTGAGCCCTTTCTTTAAGATCATCTCATTTGATCTTCCCTTCAGTCTGCAGGTGCTGTTAGGCAGGTTTTATAAGTGACAAACCAAAGCTGGATAAAATCCAATAAAGGACCTGTAGTTAATGAGGGATTTGAATCCAGAACTCCACCGCTATTTCATCAACCTGTTGTATTTAGTCTGCGTTACTGAATTTGTGTTGGTTGTACTGATAGGGAGAGGACTTTGAAATCTACAGATAAAAAGTTATTTTATAGCTATAAATTATCAACCAAAATAATACAATGCCTATAAAAGAATACAGAAACTAAAGGGAAAAAATACTTTTCTCAGAGAAGAAACTAAAAATTTTAAAGTTCAGTGTCTTAAAGTTACAGATTTTTAGGGACAATGTTTCTCCTGGTTTCCTGCCATTATCTTTACTGTTACAGTTGTGCACATACACACATTTGTCCATCTTCCTAGCATCTTTTGCTATTAGTACAGACATAGGAGTCACAAAAAGTAAGCAATTCTGAAATAATAAGTGTCCTTGTTTCTTTGAAAATAGAGAAGTCACGATAACGATGGCAGCTTTCTGGTTTCTGACTTTACTTAATATTAGGTAAAGATAAGTTACATTAGTACCACCCAGATTATTTTATAAAAGCAAATAAATATTTGAAAATAATTTTAGTGACAGTTTTGTTTCATTATTTCATAAGTGTTTGAATAATTTTATTTTTCTGGTCATTTAAATTTTATATTCATGGGACACCATAAAATTTTGATTGGAATTAAGGACTTTGTGGCTGGGAGAATTCATAAGTAGACCTATGGATCTTGTGATCTCATGTTTAGGGGTAGGGAGAATCACTGGTTGTGCTTGTCATACTTAAGGAGTACAGCATCAACATCCATCTTAGTCTCTTGCTTTTCTCTGAAAGCCTTCAACTCCTGAAACCATGAGTATAAAGAGATGCTATTCTGACTTAAACCTTCTTTGGTTATGGTAAATAAGCTCCAGTTTAACTATGGTACTGGGAAAATGTGCAACTTGTAATAAATCTCTTAGAGCTCTCAAATAGGCAGAGTTCTAAACACTACAGTTTTTACATTGAATCTTTATCACAAACATGAAATAAATATAATTATCCCTATTTTATAGTTTGGTTGAATGTTGACTCCTTCTAGCTGTAAGTTCTTTGGTAAGTTAGTTAACCCTTCAGTTTCTTCATAGAGAGTAAACCTACACATATCCTTGTGTGGTGAGAATTAAAAGAAGTAGCCCACCTAAAATACATAGTAAATGTACATGCCTGGCACATGAATACTTCTAGATGTTGTTAATTAGTTTATGATTACATGGCTAAAAAGATCTGTATCACAATAATTAGAGGTTTGTTTTCTGGTTCTACTCTGCAGAAACATATGATGTGGGTACATTTTCCTCTTTCTGGGCCTCAGTTTTCTTATACCGGTTGCTTTACAGTTTTTATATTTAGAAGTAACTTCAAATTTACATATGAGGCCAAAAAACAAACATAGTTGTGGCACCAAGAGCCTGGTCAACAAAAGACAAAATAGATAAATTGGACTTCATCAAAACTAAAAGTTTCATACATCAGAGGATACTATCAAAAGAATGAAAAGCCAACCTACAGAGCAGGAAAAAATATTTGCAAATCATGTGTATCTGATAAGGGATTAAATCTAGATTATGTAGAAACTCCCCAAAATCAAAAAACCTATTAAAAAAAAAAGGCAAATGATGAAAGCTCAGCATTATTAATCATTAGGGAAATGCAAATCAAAAACACAATGAGATGTATCTCTTTACATATTAGGACTAGACTATTAAAAATATACATAGAAAGAAAATACATGCTGACAAAAAATTAGAACGTTCATGCATTGCTGATGGGAATATAAAATAACCTAGGCACTGTGGAATAGTATGGTGGTGCTTCAAAAAATTAAACAGGCCTCCTTGGTGGCGCAAGGGGTTAAGACACAACCTATGAAGCTATCCCCAACCACTGCAGCATGAGTTCAATTCCCAGCCAGGGAGCTACCCACATGGTGCAACAGACCTGTCCTGCCTTGCCCGCTGTTCCCCTCAGCAATGTATTTTAGTCAGTCTGCCTGTTCTGTTCCCCACTCTGTCTCTGGTGAATCCTCTCACCCCCAACACACACCTCTGGCTTGTAACCCAGTTCTTGTATGCATACATAAATAAATCTTTCCCAAGAAATTAACCATATGGACCAACAATTCCATTTCTGGGTATATATACAGAAGAATTGAAAGCAGGAATTCTAAACAATAATTGTACAGTGGTGTTCATGGTATCATTCACAGTAGTGTTAATGGTGGAAGCAACTCAAATGCCCATCCCTGAAGCACTGGATAAAATGTGGAATATTCCGCCTAGCAAGCGTATCTGAACAACCAGGTACACTCTGAGAAATGCCTTGTTAGGCAGTTTCTTTATTATTTGAATATCTTAGGGTAATCACACAAACTGAGCTAGTGTGACTTACAAACCTATGGAATATCCTGTTGGGACCACTGTCATATATGTGGTCTGTGGTTGATTGAAATGTTAAGTGATGCATAACTTTGCATACATGGAATATTAGCCTTAAAATGGAAGCAAGTTCTGCAAAAGCACAACATGGATGAACTTTGAACACATGGGAAACTGGCAAAGCATTAAAGGACAGATATAACATGATGCAGCTTATATGAGGTATCCAGAAAATTCAAACTCACAAGGACCAAAAAAATAGAATAGGGAGGAGAGAGCTGGAAGGGGGAAGGGAGTATTTAATGCATACGAAGTTTTGATTTGGGATGGTGGAAAATTTCTAGAGATAAATGGTGTGGGGATGGTTGCACAAGAGAGTTTATGTATTGAATGCCATATGGTTAAATTGGTAAATTTTGTGGCTATTTTACCACAGTTTTCAAAAATAGATGTTTCAACAAAAAAATTATAAAAGAACATCTGTATTCCCTTCACCTAGATTTGCCTATTTGTAATGTTTTACTCCCATTTGCACTGTCATGTGCGCATATACTCATGCATACACCTAACCTACCATCTAAATTCCAGTATTCTTAGTTGATATAATAGTATTGTTTTTTATTTATTTATTTTTTAAAGATTTATTTATTTATTTATACAAGCACTGGGCACAGTCAGAAGCGCGGGAGGGTGAGAGAATTCACGGAGCCAGAGTGGGGAGCAGAAGGACCGAAGTACACTGCTGAGGGGAGCAGCTGGTGGCAGGAGAGGTCTGCGTGCCATGTGGGACCCGCCTCCGGTGGCCAGGGAGCAGCCAGGGATCGAACTGGCGCTGCAGAAGCTGCGGGTAGCTTCGCAACCCAGCGCTCAACCGCTGCATCACTGGGGAGGCCCCAGTATTGTTTTTTAACAGAAATTTTCTCATTTTCTGATTTTGTAATTAGAGTAGGGTTAAATAATCTTGGATAGAAAAATGCACAGGTAATGTGTTCATCTCAGCTTATGAGATCTGGAGACTGAGTACATTTTCAGTTAAATGCTATAGGAGAAGTTGGGGATGTGGGGGGATGCTGTAGGAATTTCACAGAACTGAGAATTACATTTGAATGGTCAGGAAAGAATCATAAAGGAGACATTACTTACTGATTTTTTTAGAAATTGCATTTCTAAAATTTTACAATTTCTTTTTTGCATTAGTTGTTTGTATATTACTATCTCTTACCTGTTTTTATTAAGCTGGCTCCAGTATTGAATAAATCAAGAACATTACTGATTCTTTTTTTTTTTAATTTAATAAAATCAGGTATGCCTTTCAAATGGTGTTAAGGAATCTGTTGATTATAAAGCGCCCCCCCCCAAATGACTTGAGTTTATATAAAATTACATTGGACTTTGATGTATGAGAACAATTCTCTTCCCTTGCTGGTTTCATCAAATATTAGAGACTAACAATTTATACTCAGCTTTTCTACCTTCTAGAACCTTTAAGCACTGTGCTTGAGCTGTAGAAAGCTGCTGAAAGGAAAGCACTGTTGTCAATACCTTTTGAAGAATATATAGATAATAGTTATGCTGAGGGTCTATCCTTAATGCCCTTTTTCCCTTCCAGGCTATTTTAAAAGCAGCGAAACTTTCCATGAGAAAGTAACAAACTACTTTGCAGAATAGGATTAGGGTCATTACCAGTTTCAGCATGTTTTTTGATTTATTTTATTCATATTACAGATTGAGATATATTTATTGGCTAATTGATAGGAGAGCTAGAGGTATATTTGAGGGCTTTATTAGTAAGATGGTTATTTTTTGTTTTTTCCCCACATACTTATAATTTCTTGGCCTTTGTGCATTTTGTTTCTGCAGTTTGAAGAAAACAGGTCTGAAAGGAGGTCTTACCCTCCTCCCCCCGCCTCTTTACAAAGTGATTGCCAGATCTCCAAACATCAAATCCAGCTTTGTCTGCCAACCTGTCTGACATGTCGGGACCCGTGCCAAGCAGGGCCAGAGTTTACACAGATGTTAATACACACAGACCCCGAGAGTACTGGGATTACGAGTCACATGTGGTGGAATGGGGGTAATTATTTCCTTTTACTTCTGTATACTCTCCCAAAGGGTTGACTCTCCTGGATCTGTTGAAAAATCTTAGAAAACTTCCCTGGCTGCGTTTTTTTAAAACCTCCAGCTTGAACCCCAATTTGTGTTTTCTTGTGCAACAAAGAAGCAAGAACATAAGCTTTGGCATGTTAACTCTCGACAGGCTTACCATTTAAATATCATTTCAGTCTCTTAATCTTTTCTCTGATTTATGTACTCTACAAAACTGGTAACAAGTTGCCTATCAGCTTGCTAAAGGCTTTACAGTAAGGTGAGACTGGATACTTGACAGACTTTGAAAACACCACACTCTTATATAAAGTATTTTTGAGGTCAGAGAATATTGTCCCATGATGATACTAAAGGATGAAACAGTTCTCCATGAAGGTGTCCTCTTTCTAATGAGAAGCAAAATTAAACCCTTAAACATTTGCCTTTATCAGGAGACTAGCTATGTAGAACATGGCATTCAGTCCAGATTCCATCTTGGACAGTTGCAGTGTGCTTTGACAGCTGTGTTTGCCCTCCTAATTCTCTGTGCAGTCTCATTTGGACATTTGTATTTCTTGTGCCAACGTGGTATGTATTTAGTTGATAGGGTTATACTTTTTTATGATGAAAGCATCTTGACATTTAAATATTTTAAAAAACCATAAAAAAACCAGCTCCCATATACTACATTTTATGCCTGTCACATAAGATGTCCATTTCCTGCAAGTAGCTAAAGACACTCTCAAAAATTGCCATAGTGTATATTTTAATCCTGATTGGGCCTTGATTTTTAACAATAAATATATTTTCACTGCACAAGAAGTCATAGTTGTGCTTCAGAGATACAATCAAGAACCAATAGTACAATTCCAATAAGTGATGGTGTCATTACTGATAACCTAACAATTCCCCTCTTATATTGGAGGCTTTGGACTCTAGGAATACCTGTGTTTTACTGCAGAAATTTCAAGCACCCTCTTCAATTTGAGTGTTTTGCACTTAGTTGTGCCTAAATAGCACTTAATAGCCCTGTTGAGTTTTGGCATGGTGCCATTTGCTTGCTTGCATTTGTTGGTTATTCTCTCACAGGAGGACAGCTCAAACAGAATAGCTTCCTTCCCCTAGATCTGTCATTATCACTGTATTGTGCATTGTCCTTCTCTGTTCATTCACTCTGTTTTTAGTTGCTTAAGGAAAATGAAAGGCTGATGAGTCTTAGTGTCTCTAGTGGGAGTATAGGAATTTAGGCCTTATTAAAAGTACCCCATTTGTCATTCGTTGGAGCAAAGTTCTCTGTGTTGTAAGCAGGGGCAGGGAGAAAATGTTGGCATACTTCTGTTGCTTATTTTTTGTGGAGTATGAGTAAATGGAAAGGAAGAAACAGACTCCAACCTGTGGTTTCGTGATCTGTACAGAAGTTTGCAAATTCCAGTGAAATATTATCCTCAGAACTTGCCTCAGAGAGCAAGCAGGAGGTCAAACCTATATTTGAAGCCACTTATGGGCGGGTGTTGAACCCACCAAAAATCAGCTGTTCCCAAATTGTGGCTGAATTGAAATATTACTACAAGTTATATATGACCTTCTGCTGGTTACCAGCATGGAGTCAAGACCAGGGTTCAGGAACATATAAAACTGTCCTCCAAGGGAAAGCTCTTTGTTGTTGGAGCCAAACATACATAACGAACCCTATGTGTAGAATGCCAGTTGAGGTGTAAACAATTTGGGATTTAAAGAATTATTGAAAAGCCTAAATTTTTTTAATCCTAACATTTGGAACACACATTTTTTTATTAACCCAATTTTAAAAATACAGTGACACCAACTTGGGAATTATTTGAAATTCCTCATTTCTTTTATTCCTAGTGGTAATAGTTTTATAAATTAAATTGGTACTTGATAATTTGAACTTTTAATCATTTTGTGTCTTTGACTCTTTGTTCACAGAAATCAAGATGACTACCAGTTGGTTCGAAAATTAGGCCGGGGTAAATACAGTGAAGTATTTGAAGCCATCAACATCACAAATAATGAAAAAGTTTTTGTTAAAATTCTCAAGGTCAGTACATGCAGAGAGATTATAATTTTAGAGGTATTTGGAATTAGATTTTTTAAAGTAATAGTGATTCCTTTTTTTAAGTAGAATTTATTTAGAAGGGTTTTTGGAGTGCTTTGTTGTATCCTCTGAAGTCAGTTGAAGAGGTTGCCTTCATTTGACAGATCAGGAAACTGAAGCAAGAGAAGTGATTTGACTCAAGTCATGTAGCTAGATTGTGGCAGAAGAGAGGTTCAGTCTCCTCTCTCCTGAGTCTTGCTTAATACCAACTTCATATATTTTTGGTTATATTTCATGCGTCTGTTTTCAGTAAATTGTTACTTCTACTTTGTAAGCCTTTAGAGGGCAAGCAGATCACATCAGTGCAGTTAGTCTGATGCAAGTGCCCATGATAAGAGAATGTGAGTGATGACTGCTGCAGCAGACTCCAGCTCATTGCCCTGTGGTAATGCAAGGCCAGTGTGACTTAATGCTCTCTTGCAAAGGGAAACCGGACATTTACGTATTTTAACTCCCCTGGTGTTTAAATATTGGCTCAGGAGTTCTTGAACACACTGTACAGGCCACCTTTGGCCAATGAGCTACCAATGTGGAACTTGTAATTTTTATTGCACTGTAATTAAAACTGTAATTTCTACTGAGTAATTTATACTCATTTAACAGGAACTTAGTATATAATGCCTTGCCATAGGAACTTTTCCATATCTGACACTAAGGAACAGGGGTTCTCACACTATCTCAATTTATAGCACTTATATTGTCTTAGTTGCTTACTGATGGTACCCCTGAGCCAAAAGAAATATCTAACACTTCTGTATATGAAATACTTAAGTCCAAATAATTAAGAGTGTATTTTAACTTAGTACCCTATTCGAAAAAAGTTAAATACACAAATTGAAAAAAAGAAAACAGGGCGTCCCTGGTGGCTCAGGGGGTTAAGTCTTAGCACTGTGAAGCTAGCCGCAGCAACTACAGCACAAGTTCAATACTGGCCAGGGAGCTAACCCACATGGCAAAGCAGACCTCTCCTGTCTCATCTGCTGCTCCCCTCTGCAGTGTATTTCAGTAGATCGGCCTGTTCTGCTCCCCACTCTGTCTCTGGTGAATCCTGTCACTCCCTCCCTACACCTCTGGCCTGCACCCCAGCTCTTGTATGCATAAATAAATAAAATCTTTTTTTTTTTTTAAGAACACTATTTTAATACAACTATAATTAACTGCTGTTGGAATAAATATGCCTGTTAATCACTGCATAGTTTCTCAAATGTTGGAATCAGTTTGGACATTAGCAGCTTCATTGCCTATTCCACAGTGATTTTTGTGTAATACTCGCTTCCCTACACACACACACACAGCAACTACTGAAAATCTGGCATCTCAAAATGTCATTAAAAAGTGTAGTGCAATCTAATGTTGAAATTATGAACTACCTCAAGCTGGTAGTGCATTTAGTGTCTGGAAAATACCAAGAATTGATGAGTATTTCCCTCAAAAATTAAAGCAATCCCACAGACCCTCTGTCACTTTAACCTAAGATATATTTGTTCATCTGTAAAAATGAGATAATCTTGTTTAACCTATCTTTCTCAGTTATGAGAATCAAATACAGTTTTGCGTATAGAAATAAATTGGGAGACTGCAGTTCATTCAATAGTAGGATGACATTCATGTGGTATATCCTAGAATGAGGTGATATTTAAAGTCACATGAAAGGCACAGGGTCTTCTAGCTTAGAAGTTAGTGGTGGAGCTATTATCAGGCCCCAAATTGGAGGAGGATTTGGATAGGTGTAGGTTAGAGTGGGAAGCATGATCTAGAATGCACGAGATAAAGAGGAAAACATAAGTGAATAATAAGAATGTCTCTTGTGGAAGATGTCATAGGAGGTAAACTTAGAAAGGGAGATTAATAAATTGATGATGGCTTGGAAAGCATAATCATGCATTTCCTTCCAATCTTTTTTTTTTTTTAAACTTTAATGCTCCAAAGAACCCTATTTTATTTATTTATTTATGTAAAGATTTATTTATTTACACAAGCACTGGGGTACAGGCCAGAGGCACAGGAGGGTGAGAGAATTCACCAGAGACAGAGCAGGAAGCAGAACAGGCAGAAGGACCGAAAGCACTGCTGAGGGGAGCAGCAGGCAAGAAAGGAGAGGTCTGCCGTGCCATGTGAATCTCCCTGGCCATCTGGGAATCGAACCAGCGCTGCAGAGGCTGCAGACAGCTTCGCAGCACTGTGCTCAATCCACTACGCCACCGGGGAGGCCCTCCTTCCAGTCTTAACAATTAGAATTTGTTTTTCTTGTAGATAGTTAGGAGCTGGTGATGGTTTTACATCAAGGGTGGTTAAGAAAGATTATCTTTCAGTCTTTTCCTACCTGTACTATATGTTTTACTATAGTGTCTCCCCTGTTGAAGACAAAAGTTGTATTGATCCCATTAAATTAGGGTTTAAGGCACCTGTCTGGTCTATCATAAACCAGCTTTGTAAGTTTATAGATTTTTAAGGATTCTGTAAAATAGAGATTTTTGTCAACCAGTAGCTTTTGCCATAGACCATCAGTTGGGAAATAGAAATGTAAACATAACAGGATATAGATCTCCCATATGCTGTAGCAGATCAGAAAGATCTTATACTTGAAATAAGAAAACATCTGATCGGCTTGTTTCCTGGTCTCTGTTCTAAGTTCTCATAGAAGCAAGACTTCAAGGCCTTGGATTGAATTAAATTTGGACTGTGTGGATGTCGCTACAAACAGCGTTTCCGTTATTGTCTACGTTACAGTGAGCCCTGTTCTAAATGTTAATGTGTACATCACAATTCTCCAAGATAAATACAGTCCCTCCCCAGCAGTGATAAAAATAAAGTTGAAAAATACTTAAGTACTTTTCTCAAAGCTACACTGCCATGAAGCCAGGTTAAGAGGACAATCTTACCAAAACTTGCTTTGTGTGGAACCATTTGCTTAGGACTTAAGATGAGGTTCAAATAGTGAAGTTTGCTAGTTCCGAGACCTGGCTCTTCAACTTGGAATCATCTAGAAATAATCTCTGGCTTCATTCCTAAGATTCTGATTCAGTAAGTCTAGGTAGGCCCTGGGAATTGATATATTTTATTTGAAATATAAAAAGCCAGGTGATTATGAAAACTTAGCAGCCATTGGTCTTATTCATGAAGAGATGAAATATACTTTAAACAATTTCTAAGAATTGTATGATGTGTATTAGTACTCTTGAGGTCTTTCACACCCTAAGAAAGACTTGCAGACATATACCACATGTGGCTATTTGAGAATTTGAAATATGACTGGTGCAAACTGAGATATGTGTATGGATAAAATACATCAGATTTCAAAGACTTCGTACAAAAAAGTGTAAGATTATTCATTAATAATTAACAGTGATTTGATTTTATATTAATTTGATACATTGATTTGGTTGCATGAGGTTTTAGATATATCTTGTTAAGTATATTATTACAATTTTAACTATCTTTTTACTTTTTTAACATTGGTATTAGAACATTTAAAATACACTTGTGGCTTACATTATATTTTTTTGAGCCAGCACAGTTTAAGACTATTTAGAAGGAAGTTTTTTGGAGGAGGTACAGTTGAACCAAAGCTCGCCTCAGAAAAATGAAAAGGATTTCTGTACCAGAACAGATGTGGAAATGATGGGTGAGAACAAAAGAATCTGAACACACATTCAGAGGGTTTTGCAGAGTAGTCTTTTAGAATGAGGACATTAATTTTTACAGAAATACTGGTTATAAGGCTAGACAAGTATGTATTATGCCTGAGACACATTCTGAGATCATTTCAGTTACCACATTTGATTCTTGGAATGAGATAGATATTCCTGTTGAAAGACTTAGAGAGGTTATGTAACTTGCCCATAGGCACACAGCCAGCAGGTGGTGAAGGTAGAATTTGCATTCAGCAGTCTGACTCCAAGATCCACACTTACCCAGGTTATACTGCATGTGCAAAGATGGTTTGGCCATCCCACTATTGATCCTGATTTCCTTCATTTCTTCAGGGTGTTTGTAGACTTAGAAGAAGGAACAGAAAGAGCTCGTGTTTCATCCTAGTTGACAGAAGTATTTTACTAGATAGATACGTTACTATTAGTTACCATTTTACATTCCTAGTTTTGTATGGTTTTCATAAGTTAACATTAAGATTGAACATTGGGATTAAATGCTAATTCTGTGGTGGTCTGGTCTTTGGGATGGAAATCTTCTTTTCTTTCAATATTTGCAAAGTACCTGCAGAATGCTTACCTCAGGGCTAGAAGGGGATTCAGAAAGATCTGACATTTCCTTCCTTCAAGGAGCTCATAAGTAAGCCATTTACGTACTATATTACCTGTTGAAAATACTCTGAAATAATTTACTTCACTTATGTATTTTGTTTTCCCTTTCAGCCAGTAAAGAAGAAGAAAATCAAGCGTGAAATAAAGATTTTGGAGAATTTGCGAGGTGGTCCCAACATCATCACATTGGCAGACATTGTAAAAGACCCTGTGGTGAGTACAGTAGCTACTAGCGAGGCCCACCAGGGCTGAGGTGATGTTTTGACTTGGAGAACAACTGGCCTCTTTCTGTTACCCCCTCTACCATTAAGTCCTGCTTTAAAGTGCTTAATCAGTTATACCATTTAACTAGCTTGGGTCTTTGTTTGAAAGAGACCTCCACCCACAGACTATTTCTTATTCTTCTAGGCTAAGAGACTGATAGCACTGGAAACTGAAATGTGTTAATCCATTTTGCAAACTCAGGTCCGATGCCGATGGGCGATGGGCGCATTGTCGGGCTGCCTAGAGCCTGGTGAGACTTCAGCTCCATGTCTTCTGTTTGAAATCCATCCCAAAAATGACCTAAGTGTGGTGATGATCAGAGCGGGGAGGGCTTTTAGCAATAGAGGGTTTCCATCTACTGAGGCGAGGACTGCAAAGTTCACCACGTAGCATCGAAAACATTGTGCCCACTAAAGCTGCCAGTGCTGTTGCTAATGTGTGTTTTCTTTTTCTTTCCCCTAGTCACGAACCCCTGCCTTGGTCTTTGAACATGTAAACAACACAGATTTCAAGGTATATATGACCAACTGTTCAAGTTGTTGGGTTTTCAGACAACATAGAAAGCATTCTAGGGGACCTCCCTGATGGTACAAGAGTTGGGTCTCAGCCCAGTCAGGCTATCAGCAGCCACTGCGGCATGCACGGGTTCAATCCCGGACTGGGAGGTAGCCGACATGACATGGCAGACCTCTCCTGTTTTGCCTGCTGCTCCTCTCAGCAGTGTATTTCAGTTAGTCCACCTGTTCTGCTCCCTACTCTGTCTCTGGTGAATCCTCTTGCCCCCACACCTCTGACCTGCACCCCAGCTCTTGTATGCATAAATAGATGAAATAAGTCTTTAAAAAGAAAGAAAGGGCCTCACCTGGTGGCGCAGCGGTTGAGTGCTGGGCTGTGAAGCTGCCTGCAGCCTCTGTGGCACCGATTCGATCCCCAGCCGCCAGTTAGGGTCCCACATGGCGTGCAGACCTCTCCTGCTGCGCCCTCTGCTCCCCTCAGCAGTGTATTTCATCAGTCTGCCTGCTCTGCTCCCCGCTCTGGCTCTGGTGAATTCTCTCACCCTCCCGCGCTTCTGACTGTACCCAGTGCTTGTATAAATAAGTAAATAAATCTTTAGAAAAAGAAAAAGAAAGAAAGCATTCTAGGGATGACAGAAGAACTTGCTTCTAGCTTGCTTAAAATGGGATTTTCATCCTTATAGTGCTTAAATTTAAAATAGAAAATTCCTGTATAAGCAATACCCGTCCACATATTCCTGTCCACATCTTGGTATTTTTTGTTCAGGAAACAACTGTTCAAGAAGGAATGCATAGTATACATAAATGCAAGAACTGCTTGCATCTTAGGATGTCTCAAAAATGATAGGCTATAGGTTTTAAAAGGGAGTGAGATGGGGAAAACTTTATCAGGGACGACATCACTAGTCATTTAGTGATATGTACATGTTTTTTAAGTCTGCAGCTCTGGAAATTAGAATGGATATACATTTATGTTTGCTTTCAACTTGGCAGGATTAGTTTAAATTGACTTTACAGATTTGTCAGCAAGTCATCTGAATGCCTTCTGGTGATCTGCAGTGCCTATAACTATATAAGTCAAAGATGGGTTAGTTCCCCCTTAAAGTGTTGAGAAAATCTGAAGGTAGATGAAAAACAAACTAAATTGTGAATGTGTATCTGTGCATGTTGTTGCATATAGAAGTTTATGTTCCCAACAGTGAATTTTATGACTTTGGCAACACAAGTTTAAGTAATTCCTCACATTTGCTTACAGACTTAAAGTTCCAAAGTAGGTCTTTAAAGTGAATGTTATGTTGAAGAAGTAGAGAACACCAACAGATCTTGAAACAATGGCAAATGAACCAAGTATTAGTTTATATTACTACAAAGGATGGGACATAGCGTTCCTATCAGCATTTTTTCATGGTTCCAATGTATTTGTCTTTAACAGCAATTGTACCAGACATTAACGGACTATGATATTCGATTTTACATGTATGAGATTCTGAAGGTAAGAGCACCCTGGATATTAATAAGTATCTTTAGATTGATTTTCCCTTTGTTGAGTAGTCCAGCTGACTATAGAAAAGCCATGGGTTAACTTTGTCAAGTGTTTTGAAAGAAGGAACCTCTTCATATAAGTCTTATTAAGTTAAGCGCATCAGAACCTTTGTGCTCTAATGTAAGGGATATATAACATGAATATGGAAAGGACATTTAAAGACAGCTGGATCCTTTAACAAATATTTGTAACCTCTGTCTTGCTCCTATGAAAGTTAAATTGATCAAAACTTGTAAAAAATACCTCCTGATATGCTGACTTTGGTATCCTTTTTTCATGTAAAACTCCACAAGTAAAACAGTAAACTTAATTCAACCCTCAAAAGTTGTCATAAGGATTATGTAATCTTTGCTTAGAGATGACTGATTTAGAGCAGACTTTGATTTCTAAAGTGGAATCATCAACTGTATCTTGCTCCCAGTAGTCACAAGATCAACTTTATAGATAATTATTAAGACATGGCCAAAGTTACTGATCAGGGGATTGAAAAGTCTGTGCTTGAATCTTAGATGTTCCTTAAAGAGACTGCCAGCAGAAATATTTGATATTTTCCATGGCTCATGCAGTCTTGTGGCAATCAGGGTTTAACAAAATTAAGGATATACTTGCTTAGCACTGGGAACCATAGGAAACCCAGCAGCCCATAACCAGTGACGTTCGCTGACTTACAGGCCAGGATTAAGAAAACCCAAAGGTTATGCCACTCTGGTCACCTTAATTTGAAACTGGATATGGTTTTCAAGTTGGATTTGATGTTAAAAGTGAAATTTTAAAGCTTTGCAGCCCTTTGGGTCTTTCTTACATTACTACACTCTGCTGTTGTTGTACACACGCAGCCATTGGTAGATAATATGCAAGCAAATACACGTGGCTGTGTTCCAATAAAATATTCACAAAAATAGGCAGCAGGCAGTATTTGGCAAGAGGACTATGGTAAGTTCTTAAAGTAAGAGGTTTGTAGTAGTGTAGGCCAGTTTCCTTCCTTTGAGAGACCTGTTTGTGAAAATCATTCAGGCTTTGGTAAGAGGAAGAAATTAGAAGGGAATAATTGATGTATACTTTGGGTCTTTTTGAATAGAAAGGATGTGAAACAACAGTGCAAGAACAGAACTTGAAGTTCAGAGATGCGCGTTTTCTTGACTATGGGATCTTAAGCCAAGTCTGAAGAATAGTTACGGGAGCAGTTGTCCTAACCCTGACTCCCTGGGGTGTTCTGAGACTAGAAAGAAAGCCATGGAGAAAAAAGTATGGAATTTAAAACTAAAAAATCACTCTTATATGCAAGCTAATTCCCTTTTCTTACTTGTACCTCCCACAGGCGTTGGATTATTGTCATAGTATGGGCATTATGCACAGAGATGTGAAGCCTCATAATGTCATGATTGATCATGAGCACAGAAAGGTAAAGTGATAGACTAACAAGTCTTATTTATCGACATTATAAACACTTTATTCCTAGCATCTGTCTTAATAACACTTAATTCCTAGAATAATAACACTATTAACACTTTAATAACACTTTATTCCTAGCATCTGTCTCATTCCTTAGTACCTTTTAAGTATTTGATAAATATTTGGTGTGTGAGTGAGCAAATCAGAATGCTTAAACTGTTACTCATTTTCCTAAGAATACTATCACGAAGGCCGCAGATTTGTGTAGTTGGCAAAACATTAGTTTTGAGCAAGAAAACTGACTTTTAGTCTTACTGAAGACTACTTTCTTGGGAAACTCCTTTTTCATGCTCCTTTTTCTTACCTATATAAAGGACATAATAGTATTTGGCCAAGATGTCGTTAGGTTATTGTGAGATTTAAGTGTACACACTTGTGGAATGAATAAAATATTCAGAAAATGCTGCTTACTAGCAAGTGTCACGAGGACCTTGAGCTCTTCAGGTGTTTTTAGTGAGAACCTCACTGACCACATACTTTTTTTTTTTTTTAAAGATTTATTTTTTTTTTTATTTATACAAGCACTGGGTACAGTCAGAAGCGCGGGAGGGTGAGAGAATTCACCAGAGCCAGAGCGGGGAGCAGAGCAGACAGAAGGACCAAAGTACACTGCTGAGGGGAGCAGCGGGCAGCAGGAGAGGTCTGCGCGCCATGTGGGACCCTCCGGTGGCCGGGGAGCAGTGGGAACTGAACCGGCGCTGCAGAGGCTGCAGGCAGCTTCGCAACCCAGCTCTCAACCGCTGCGCCACCGGGGAGGCCCAGACCATACTTTTAACACTTCAGTCTTTTGTATTATTATTTTCTTACATCATTGTTCATTTTTGTACAATATTTTATTTCTCCCCTCGTGTAGTTTCCATTAATTCTCCTACCACACAGCACCCATGACCATCACCATAGTCCCTTGTGCTCTTCCTGCCCCTGTTTTTTTTTTGTTTGTTTTTGTTTTGTTTTGTTTTCTGTGGGACCCTCGCCGGTGGCCGGGGATCGAACTGGCGCTGCAGAGGCTGCAGGCAGCCTCACAACCCAGTGCTCAACCACTGTGCCACCAGGGGAGGCCCTCCTCCCCTGTTTTGACCCTTCTCCTTCCCCAGCTGCTGTATGCCTCAGATATATGGTTTGCCTGCAAGATTTGTCTTTTTCGGGCCTCCCCGGTGGCACAGCAGTTGAGCGCTGGGTTGCGAAGCTGCCCACAGCCTCTGCAGCGCCGGTTCGATCCCCGGCCACTGGGGGAGGGTCCCACATGGCGTGCTGACCTCTCCTGCCGCCCGCTGCTCCCCGCAGCAGTGTACTTCCGTCCTTCTGCCTGCTCTGCTCCCTGCTCTGGCTCTGGTGAATTCTCTCACCCTCCCACGCTTCTGACTGTACCCAGTGCTTGTATGTACGTATACATAAATAAATAAATAAATCTTCCAAAAAAAAAAAAAAAAAGTTGAAAGTGATGTGAAGGAGTAATTAGGAATAGGGAATGGTGATGGAGTGTTACAATTTTAAATTAGATGATTAGAGGGAAGGTTTCTTTGGAGAAGACTTGAAGGGAACCAGGTCATAGTCTCTGAAAGAAGTGTCAGAGGCAAAGGAAGTTGTAGAGGCAAAGGCTGTGGGGCCAAACTGTACCTGACCTGTGACAGCAGCAAGGGTGGAACTGGGATCAAATGACCCAGAGGGGAAAGAAATGAGGTCAAAGAGGTAAAGAGAGCTGGATCATTTAAAACCTCAAAGATCGTCGTGAGACATTCTCTCTGATGGTGCAAAATTTTTGCAGGGCTTGAATAGAAAGTTGGCGTGTTTTCATTTGCTTTTTTACTGCACATCATAATAGAATAGCTAAAATGAAAAATGACGATACTAAATGCTAGCAAGGATACAGAGAAACTCAGTCATTTACATCTTGCTGATGGGAATGTAAAGTTTTTACTTTTTTGGAAAATACCAAACAACTCTTTTATAATTTGTCAGTTTCTTAAAAAACTGTGTGCTCACCAAATGATCCAGTGATGGAATTTATCCCAGAGAAATGAAAACACAAACGTACACATGAATGCTGCTTTATTTGTAATAGCTCAGAATTGGAAAAAAACTTCAGTGTCTTCTGTGGGTGATTAATCAAATTGTGGCAAGTTCATACCAAATGTAGTAATCATTATCAAGTAATATTACTGAGTAGTATTACTCAGCAATAAAAAGAAATAGACCATTGATAATACAACTTAGATGGATATCATGCTTAAGTGGGGAAAAAAGTAATCTCAAAAAGTTATACTGATGATTCCATTTATATATATCATTTTCAAAATGACAAAATTACAGTTAGAGAACAGAGGATTAGTCAGGGGTTGGAAAGGGATGGAAAGTAAAAGGAAAGGCAGGTATAATTGGAGCAGTTCTGTACCCTGTGGTGGAAATTATGTGAATCTTTATGGGACAATAAGATGTAATTGTTAGGGGAAACTAGGTGAAAGGTAGGTACACAGTATACTTCCAACTTCTGTGAATTTATTACCTTTTTTAAATAAAAAGGCTTTTTAAAATGAATCATACTGATTGCTGGTTAGAGAATGGAGAGACAAGAGTGAAAGCAGGCAGACCAATAGGGTGAGGGGACAATTGCAGCAAATGAGACGAGATGATGGTGACATGGGTGAAGGTAGTGGCAATGGGGGGATGATAATGGTGACAATACGGTAGAGCCAACAGAATTTGTTAACTGATTTTTTGTGGTATGTCAGGGAAATTAGTCCAAGATGACTAATTTGGGGCCTGAATGTGAAGATGAAAGAAATGGGGAGGCTGTGGGAGAAGCAGGTTTTGTAAGGAATCATCAGAGGTTTAGTTTTGAGATGTCTGTTAAGTGATCATGAAGATGAGACTGGTCGGAGGCGTAGGCTGGATTATGGGTGTGAAGCCACAAGACCAGAAATGGTCACTTGGGAATGCTTGTCAGGAACAGCTGTGGAGTGCTGATGCTAAAGGGTTGTAGAGAATGACTAAAAAAAATAAGCTACACTTTCTCTAATTTTGATAACTTTCCTTGGCTTATTAAAACAAGGAAGACCGGGCCTCCCCGGTGGCGCAGTGGTTGAGCACTGGGTTGCGAAGCTGCCCGCGGCCTCTGCGGCGCCGGTTCGATCCCCAGCTGCTCCCCGGCCACCGGAGGAGGGTCCCACATGGCGCGCAGACCTCTCCTGCCACCTGCTGCTCCCCTCAGCAGTGTACTTCGGTCCTTCTGCCTGCTCTGCTCCCCGCTCTGGCTCTGGTGAATTCTCTCACCCTCCCGCGCTTCTGACTGTACCCAGTGCATGTATAAACAAAACAAATAAATAAATAAAACATGCCTCTATAAAAAAAGGAAGGAAAACCACTGTATCTAGTAGTTAACAGTGATCTTAGCAGAGACAGTGCCAGAGCAGTTGGGAATTACTTAGTTCCTACTACTCCCACATAAAATAATGACCATACTTTGCACAGTGGGCAAATAAAGATACCTGTCATATCACATATGATACATTTTGGTAAGAGCTATTTTGTGTGGCTTTTGTCTTCACATAGCTTTTTTTTTTTTTTTTTTTTTTTTTTTTAATACTTATATGTGCTGGGCATTTTGTTGAATTCTCAAGTTACAAAGTAAATAAAATAGTCCTTACCTTTAAGAAACTTACAGTCCATATTGAAAAAGAACAGTAAAAAATAAATACAATAAAGAGTTGTAGATTCTATTAAAGAAATAAATCTGATATTCTGGGGCGTTAAAGATAATAATGATCACTACTTGTACAATTAGAAAATACTGTTAAAGGAATTAAATATCTCAGAAATATAAAATTGCTCATAATTCATTCCTTTTTTTTTTTTTTCCCCCTTTTCAGCTACGGCTAATAGACTGGGGTTTGGCCGAGTTTTACCATCCTGGCCAAGAATATAATGTCCGAGTTGCTTCCCGATACTTCAAAGGTCCTGAGCTGCTTGTAGACTATCAGGTGAGAAGAGATGAGCAGATAAAATTTCTGTTCTGTGTTTGTTTTGCATATAACTTGTGAAAAACGTCATTTTGTGCTTTTGAGTAGGCCACTTATGCACATCCATTGCTGTCTGTTTTGTATATGGTTTGTTTTTTTTGTTTTGTTTTGTTTTTTTAAAGATTACTTTGCATACAAGAACTGGGTACAGGCCAGAGATGCAGGGGGTGAGAGGATTCACCAGAGACAGAGTGGGGAACAGAACAGGCAGATTGACTGAAATACACTGCTGAGGGGAGCAGCGGGCAAGACAGGAGAGGTCTGCTTTGCCATGTGAGTTGCTCCCTGGCCAGCCGGGGATCGAACTCATGCCACAGAGGTTGCGGGCAGCTTCATAGTGCGTTGCTCAACACCTTGTACCACCTGGGAGGCCCCCTTTTGTATGTTTTCATTGTCATGTCATTAGAATATGAATAGGTCTGCATTTCATTTGACTCTGAGGGGAAAGTACACCAAAGATATTTTTTCAATCGGAAATTTCCAAACTAGTTAAAGAATTGCTAGCTAGGTTTAACCAACCTTAAAGTAAAAATGTAAAAAAAAAAAAAAATATTGTGGTTTTCCTAAAGGTAATCTCCTACCAGAAAGGAAAAAGCTTTCTCCTTACAGAAAAACAAAATAATCCTTGGGATTACCTTTCATGCCCAGTATTCCTGGGTGTTATTATTGCATACCTAAACTTTAGTTCACATTCTTAGTCCTAGGATCTTGAAGACATTATCTGAGCTCAAAACATATTTTATGCCTAAAAGTTTTCTTTATAGCATTTTAATGGTGAACACTGAAACACTTTCCTATTATAGGGAGATTAAAGATTAATCTCAAACCTTTATGCAGTAAAATTAATGATACATATTAGAAGGTTTCCATAGGCTAACAATTTGGGAATGTTCGTCCGTAAGTGAAAAAAGGGATTCAAAGTCATCTATACAAATTGTTTTTAAATGGGATGGGAGGGTAGGTGGGATATATAGAAGAATGAAACGAAATACATGAAGATGTTACTAGCAATTGATGTTGAGTCATGGAGTACTTTTTTTTTTTTTAAGTTAAATAATTTTATTTTGAAATTACAAGATATTTCATATATGAATACAATGATGTTTTCTTTAATGCAGATGTACGATTATAGTTTGGATATGTGGAGCTTGGGTTGTATGCTGGCAAGTATGATCTTTCGGAAGGAGCCATTTTTCCATGGACATGATAATTATGATCAGGTGATTTATGTTATTCCCATCAGGGAACTAATTGGTATAACCTTGTGATGGCCAAATCTGCCTACTCAGTGGAAACTGCACTGGATATTGCTAAAATACAGATGCCTAACCCCCACTGGAGACCTATTAATTCAGAATTTCCGAGGACGGGGTCCTAGAATAATTTTCAGTTTACAGCTTGTTCAGCCAACCTGACGTTCATCCTCAGATTACTTTGGGAGCTACCAGTTTAGTTTTTGATTCCAGAGTTTTTCCCATCTTCTTAATATGCATTGCTTGTTTTATTGTGAAATATACCTACACAATATTTTATGATACAAAAGTCAAAGAATAATAGTTTGAGAACTAGGACTTTACCTTAGAATTTCTTAATATGAACTTGCCTAGAGCTGGAAATGTTTTCTCATTGTGTTGTTATGTGCTGTTTCTATGATCCTTTTGTCTCTTAGAGCGATTGAATTGATGTATGTTGGTAGAAATAGAAATGGTGTTTTTTAAGATCAAGGGGTCATTTCAGTTGAGAGGATCTAGAATGATGCTAGGACTAGAGGAACCTAGTATTGCTTTATTTGAGCACAACGACCACTTTTAATATGAGTCAAAGAATACCACCTAAATTCAGTTAAACGCAGCAACTCTACCGGGCTCCATGCAGGATTGAGAAATACAGGGAAAAAAGAGAATAGTGCCTCCTTTCAAATAGTTCATAGTCTAGTAAGGGAACTAAGCACACAAAGAAATGTTAGGTCATAAATGCCAGAGTAGAAATGTAGACAAGGCACAAAAGGTAGCTGTAGTGGGAGTGGTCTGAGTGTTTGGGGAGCTTCCCAAAAGAAATAGCATTAGCTAGGTTGTGAGGTTGAAAAATTAAGATTCACCAGGAATACATTTCAAGGGGAAGAAACCAGGTTATTAAGTGGGGTTTGATATTTTTTCTTGATATCTCCACATGGAATAATAATATGGGGAATTTTAGGGAAAAATCCATTTCTGCTGTGCACAGAAATTTGGAGTAAATTAAGGTGTAACATTCATACTTGTAGCAATGACAATGCCTTGCTGTTAATTCGATTGTGCTTGTTTGTTGATTTAATCATGTAATATGCTTGTGGTGTGGGTTTTTCTCTTCAATTCTAGTTGGTGAGGATAGCCAAAGTTCTGGGGACAGAAGATTTATATGACTATATTGACAAATACAACATTGAATTAGATCCACGTTTCAATGATATCTTGGGCAGGTAAGTTATAAAATGAAATCTGTTCTAAAGCTCTGTGGGTGTAAACTGACCATTTGTTCTTTAAGATAGCTATTTTCTCTTTGCCATCAGTGGCATAGTAGCTATAGTATGGTGCCACAGCATGCTGCATGTATGGGCAGCCCTGTAGTGAAAGCATTGCACAGACATTTTTCCAATTCCCTTTTAGAAGTCTGAAAGTGAAATGATAGTCATGATTCCTGTGAAGTGATGAAAATGTAGATTCTAGTAAAAGGATCACAGTTGAATCAGAAATCAGAGTCTCTTAATTTCACTTGCCTTTTCCAAATGACAAAGCCTTTGCTAAAAGAAAATATATATAAATAGAAAACAAGACATACAGATACACAGACACTGGACTCTGAAATTAGTGATTGACATAATTCTAATTCATTGACCACTTAACAGGTAGAGGTGGACTTCCCTGATGCAAGGCTTTTGCTGACCAAGTGGCAGAAGTGCTGGGAATGTGTGTGGGGATGGGAAAGAGTCCTGGTTGGCACAGCCCACTGACCTTCCTTGCTGCACATTCAACCCTGTAAAGTAACCTGAATTATGTTTCATAAAATTATAGGACCCAGATTTTTCTTATCTGCAACACTGCTATTTCCAGTCTTTCCAATTAGCCTTTTTGTCTCCCCAGAGGCAGAGTAGTACAAGACTAATCTCTTGAGTTTTAATAATCCCTCTTTACTATTGGCTGGGCTCCTAGCCACTAAAAAAACTTAGGAGTGAAATTTTGGGCTTCTTTACCCCTTGGTCCATTTCTGATTATTTGTTTTGGCCCTGCAGACACTCCCGTAAGCGATGGGAACGCTTTGTCCACAGTGAAAACCAGCACCTTGTCAGCCCAGAGGCCTTGGATTTCCTGGACAAGCTGCTGCGATATGACCACCAGTCACGGCTTACCGCAAGAGAGGCCATGGAGCACCCCTATTTCTGTGAGTCCAACTGCCTAGTCCATAGAGCCTGTGCAGGCCTGTCCAGCAGACTGTGCAAGGCAAAAGACAGTATATGCAATGGGAAAAAAGCTCTGGGCCCAGAGTCCTACAGAACAGAGTTGGAATCCCAGTTCTCCTTAGCTTACTACAAAGGTACTTAGCCACCATGGGCTTCAGTTTCTTCAAATGGGGACAGCAGTGGCAACTGTCTTTAAAATTGTTGTCTTACTGTGTGGGCAATGCTTCTCATTGACTCGTCTGGAGTGGTTATTTTAGGACAAACAGCCCTATATCTGTCTGTCGTGTCTGTTATTCATTGGTGAGAACCAAGCAGGTTTGAAATCTGCTTATGAACATTTGATTGAGTTTGTTAGTGTAACTAATTGTGCTGTCTTGGGTTAAATGCCACGTAGATTAACTCCATCCTCACTGGGATGTTGGCTTCAGTATTGGATTGTTCCTTTGGGGTATGGTTATATGGAGAATCACTAACATTCTTGCCCAGCTCCTATATCTGAAGCAGACTTCCAGGCTGAGAATAGAGTGAAGTCTGTGGTCATATACTACCTACCCAAACTTAATAACACTGGCCTGGTTGGCACCATATTTGACCAGCTGCACTGTGGACTACAATGCAACCAATTCACTGATAGTGTATTACTGTCTTTGACAGGTTAGATTGTTTTGTCTCATTATATCCTAATAGGGTCATTTTTATTTTAAGTTAGCTCTACTATATATAACTCATTTTCCTACCATTTAGCTTAAGAGTGGACCTTTACCATTGTTAGACAGGAGAAATAATTCTGATGTATATTAGTTGTCTAATTCATGGTGAAGGTATTTGCTACCTACCTTCTGGGAACAATAGCGGGTATTAAATGAAATGCAAAGAATGAGGGTCACTTCATTAAGGCCCCAGACTGTTAGTTTAATCCTTCAGGCATAACAGAACCTAATCCTTTGTCTTTTTTTCTAGACACTGTTGTGAAAGACCAGGCTCGAATGGGTTCATCTAACATGCCAGGGGGCAGTACGCCTGTCAGCAGCGCCAATATGATGTCAGGTCAGTTCATTATTCTTAGTTTTGCTCCTTCATTATGGCCTGATTTCTTTGGACCATCTCTTCTCTGTCATGATTATCTTATCAATATATTGGCATGTCTGACTCTCCCCCAACAGGTTTCAAAATGCTTAAACAAATGGGGCATGGAGGAGTTTGTGCCTGGGTTTATATATAATATGTACATAAGAAAGATTCTCCACATTTTTTCCCAGAGCAACTAAAGTGTGCCTGGTAAATTGTAAAGGCATATATGAAATTATTATTCATTGTTGAGTCATCATGATTTAGAGCAAGTTTTTAGACTATGTACACAATTATTCAAAAGAAAGCATAGGCCCAATGCCTAAGAATTGTACTTTGGGGCTTCCCTGGTGGCACAGGGGTTAAAGTCTCACCACTATCAAGCTGTCACCAGCCACTGTGGCATGAGCTCAATCCCCAGCCAGGGAGCTAACCCATATGGCCAGCAGACCTCTCCTGTCCTGCCCACTGCTCCCCTCAGCAGTGTATTTCAGTAGATCCGCTTGTTCTGCTCACCACTCTGTCTCTGGTAAATCCTCTCACCCTCCTCCCCCCACACCCCCCTCTGGTGTCCACCTCAGTTCTTGTATACATAAATACAATCTTTAAAAAAAGAAAAAAAGAATTGTACTTTGTAGGCATTACCCACATTGGTAAACTTGTAGTGAGAGCATTTACTCAGATACCCTCAAAAGAATTCCTGTTGTCCCAATTATTTTTTAAAGAACTAATCGCCTTCTAGTGTTTATCCTCTGGGTATCTTGTCTATTTATAAAATGATGTATATCCAGCTTTGCTTATTGCACTCGTCTTTGTAATAGAAAACATTGAAACTAGCTCTCTGTAGGGAACTGATTAAATGAATTATGGCACTGCCATTTCAGAGGGATGTTATACAGCCAGAGAAAAGGATGAGTGTTTCATGTTCTTTTCTTGCTCCAACACCAAGGTAATAATGTAACATGATAAAAAGCAAGATACAAAACCATATCCAAGACCCCAGGAGTGGACAAAAACATATGTCATGTTTTTATATATGATTCTTATATGCATGTCATGCATGCACACAAAGTATTTCTGGAAGAATACACCCCAAAAATGGTGCCCTAAGTTGGTCAGGTGAAATTTTTCACTGTAAACTCTTTTGAACCTTTTGTATTTTGAATCATATGAATATATTGCCTGTTCAAAAAACACATACAGCATATGAAGATTAAAGAACTTAGCTGATTGAGGGCCGTGTAATGGATAATTTGGGTCATTGGATGAATGGTAGAAATCAGATAGAAATAAATTCTAAAATACAATTTTAGCTTAGAAATAGGAAATGCTCCTTTGTCCCACTGAAAATCACTTTAGTATAATAGTTTCCCCTTAACCTATGGTTTCACTTTCCGCAGTTGTAGTTACCCACAATGAACTACAGTGCAAGAATACATACAATAAAATATTTTGAGAGGCCACATTCATGTAGCTTTTATTATAGTATTTTGTTATTAATCATGCTTGTTAATGTCTTACTGTGCCTAACTTAACAAATTGAAGTTTATCATACCTATGATTTATCATAGATTTATCACAGGGGAAAAAAAGGTAGTACACTAGTCACTAGTAAGTGTGTATATGTATATATATACACATACATACACACATATTAGCATATATATATATATATATCAGAGGGAGTTCTGTACTCTCTGCTTACATATCCACTTATCTTAGAAGTTATCCCCCAGAGGGCCTCCCCGGTGGCGCAGTGGTTGAATGCTGGGTTGCGAAGTTGCCCGCGGCCTCTGCGGCGCCGGTTCGATCCCCGGCTGCTCCCCGGCCACCAGAGGAGGGTCCCACATGGCGCGCAGACCTCTCCTGCCGCCCGCTGCTCCCCTCAGCAGTGTACTTCGGTCCTTCTGCCTGCTCTGCTCCCCGCTCTGGCTCTGGTGAATTCTCTCACCCTCCCGCGCTTCTGACTGTACCCAATGCATGTATAAACAAACAAATAAATAAATAAATACATACATAAATAAAAATACATGCCTCTTTAAAAAAAAATAAAATTAAAAAAAAAAAAAGAAGTTATCCCCCACAAATGGGGGGGATGAGGGATTATTACTATTTAGTTTGAAAGCGGCCAGCTACCTTGACATTGTGGTTTAAGAACTTTGACTCTGACCCTCTGCTGTTTGGTATGACTATTAAAATCGAAAAATTTAGAAATCAGTTCCTTGGTTAACATTAGCCACATTTCAAGTACTCAGTAGCCACATGTGGCTGTTGGCCACTGTGTTAGCACAGATTATAGTGGATAGTGCCACCCTTAGACAGGCCTCAGTTGGAATCCAATCACAGTTGCCACTTACTAGCCTTGAACACACTGCTTAACACTCTGCAGGTTTATCTGTCTCCTAAATTTATTAGAACTTGCTTTTTTTAAGTGTGAAGATTTAATTTGAAATTATGTTTCATTTGTAAAAATTAGGTTTAGAAAAGTCCCGCTATAAAAAGAGAATTGTTATTGTGTTGCTTTTGAGACAGTTACTATGGAAAAATTGGTCACTAAGATTTCCATGGCTCACTGTCACCTGTTTTTCTTTCAGGGATTTCTTCAGTGCCAACCCCTTCACCCCTCGGACCTCTGGCAGGCTCACCAGTGATTGCTGCTGCCAACCCCCTTGGGATGCCTGTTCCAGCTACCGCTGGCGCTCAGCAGTAATGGCCCCTTCTGTCTCCTGATGCCTGAGCAGAGGTGGGGGAGTCCACTCTCTCCTTGATGCAGCTTGCGCCTGGCGGGGAGGGGTGAAATACTTCAGAAGCACCGTGTCTGAACCGTTGCTTGTGGATTTATAGTAGTACAGTCATAAAAAAAAAAAATTATAATAGGCTGATTTTCTTTTTCTTTTCTTTTTTTTTTTTTAAACTCGAACTTTTCATAACTCAGGGGAGTCCCTGAAAAATTACTTGCAGGTGGAATATTTCACGGACAAATTTTTTTCTCCCCTTCCAAATTCAGTTCCTCATCACTGAAGAACAAAGATAAACCAGCCTCAATCCCAGCTGCTGCGTTTGGGTGGAGATTTCTTCCCATGCCCACCATTGCTCCCCCATCATCCCACACTTGGGGAGTTTGTATCTCATGCTTTTCTCCAGAGATTACAAAAATGTAGCTTCTCAAGGGCAATGGGAAGGAAGGAGAAAGGAAGGACCCAATAGTGTACTGCTCGTCACTTATATCACTTTACTACAGAAGTGCTTCAGTGGGTTTATCCTGGTGAATCTAGTGGAAATATGTCTTAGTAAACACTGAGATACTGAAAGTCTACCCAAAAGTGCAGACAGGTCCTAAAAACTCGTGTTCGGTATGAATCATGTCTTATTGACCTAATTCTCAGTCCAGCTCACTTAAGATTTTAGTTTCCATTTAATCTAAAACTTTAACAACGTCCTTCCCCAACTTCTTGGTCCTCTCCCCTTTCATCTCCTGATAAGCTCCTCAGCAGATAGGAGAGGGAAGGCAAAACCTTTTCCAGTTTTTTTCAACTTGGCCATTTTGAGTTCAGTTATTTACTGGGTATAACCTAATACTTTTTACAGGAGAAGGAAACATTGTAGAGGTTTCATGAGCGCAATTCTTTAAGAGCTAATGGGAGATGTGGCCACATTGAGTTTCATTTAAGCTTTCTACAGTCTTTTCCTCCTGCCTTCCCCTTCCCTCACATACCATCCTGTGAGAAGACCTGCCCCATGGTCTTGTAAATGTGTCTGAGAGGTAGAAGCAGAGCCACTATCTCCAGTGAAACTGAAATGGTAGACCTGTAATTGTGGGAAAATGATAAACTCTCTTGTTACAGCCCTGCCACCCCTTGCTGTGTGTACATATATAATACTTTTGTCCTTCATATGTGAAAGATCCAGTGTTGGAATTCTTTGGTGTAAATAAACGTTTGGTTTTATTTATCAAGGTTAGATTTAAGTTCCCTGTGTAAAGGTCTCGCTGGGTGGGTGTCTCACGTTCACATCTGAGGGGCCTGCAGCCCTGTACCGTGGAGGCTTCCTTAGGCCCCCATTTTTATACACCCCTCATTCGACCCATGGTACCGGGCAGGGCAGAGAGGCCTTAAAAAAGCACCACAAGCCAAAGCGTCTCTGGGGATTAAGGATCCTTTGCCATAAAATTCATTTTGTGTCTCAGCAGTGCAGGGATTGGGGATGGAAAAAGTCGCCAGTTTTGTGTGTTTGTGTGTGTGTAAAGTGGATTTTCCACTGTAATCCAACCACCTAAGTTTATCAGGTGCTTCACTGAAGAAGCCTAGTTTTTTAAGCACAATAGCAAAACCATCAGCTCTGTATTTTCTCCTGTTACTTCATTACAGTAGCTGCTTGTGGGGACTAGGAAAAATTCTTCCAACATATTTTAAAGCCTAAAATCTTAGTTCCCCATTCTCCTACCTTTATAGATTCACAAACCTTTCTCACCTGGGCATCATAAACATAACTGTTTGAGGAGTTGAATTTAATGAATTTATCTAACTTTGTAATCCATCTTGGCTTAAGTAACTTTAACAAGGTTGGTGGCTTTAGTGAATATAGCGGTAAACTTTAGAGGAAGCTAAAGCCTTCTTTTATAATGCTTCTCAACCGGTAGGGAAAACATTCTGTTGTGGCAGGTGATTTTCTTCCTTGTGGCCACTTACAGTGGATATTTATTGTTCTTGACCCTTTTATGCCCTAGAATGCTGTGAGGGTTACCATGTTGAATTTCTGCAGAAGCTAAAAGCACCAGATGTGCCAGAGATGCAATTTGTGATTACGTTTGCACTGGATTGTGATTTGAACAGAATATTTACGACTAATGAATTCTTTCTTTTGAGGTGGGGAGGAAGGTTGTAAATCAAGACTTCACATCCCACCCTTATAGGTCAGAGAATCTAGGTATATCTGAGGCTGATGTGGGGAGCTGCAGACAGCTGGACCTCCTAAAACGCATCAGACCTGGCAAGAAACTGAAGGTGAATGCAGAGGACTCTGAATTGCCACCCAAGAGCCTTTTAAAATAAACACAAGTTTTAAAAATGCTTATGGAGTCACTGCAGAAGCATGGGAGAAGAAAAAAAAAGACCCAGTTGGGTGGGTGGGAGGGGCAAGGGTTTACAGAGTAACAACTTCTGTGTTGTTGTAAATTACCTCATCTGTATACCTTGTATTGGGACACTTTCTCAGCACTACCTGTGTCTGCATTGATTAGATGACAGGAAAGGGAATGCCAATATAAGGCAGCTGTGTTGGCAATTACTCTGAAAGGTTTTTTAAGTATTTTTTAACTTTGTTTGAAGTGCCCCCCCCCTTTTTTTTTTAAGTTTGAAGTCAGACGATCCCTCTCCTCCCTGATTTATTGGTTGTAATTGTATTGTAATTGGTATAACTAAAATACAACTGTGCTGGGAAGAAGTTGTGCCATGAAGGTCTTTAATTTTTTTTTAAATAAAAACATTTAAACAAATGAAATGTCCCTGCAGCCTGAGCAATATGCTTCTCCAACCGACACCGTATGTGATAGATGGCTTAGTTCTCACGTGCTTTAAATTTAATATTGGGTTGATGGAGATGTAAAATGGGGTGGATTAAGATTGGTTAAGGAGCGCTGAAGTCTGGGAGTGCAGTGAAGAGCATGATGTTATTAAACAGCACTGGTTTCAATGTTGCCCTTATGACAGACTTAACTATTAGCAAGTTACTTAACTTCCAAATCAGTTTCATCATCTATAAAATAGGGCCATTGCTTTCTTGGAATTGAATGAGTAAATTTCAGGAGTCTGGCACTTGTTGTGCCCTTGATAAACTTACTTCCTCTCTCTCCCACCTCTCCTCCCCCATTGGATTAGTCCTTGTTCCTGACTTTACAAGTAATTAGTGTGATCTCTGTGGAAGGCCCTTTTCTCTCCTTAGGACCTTTGTGTGTTCAGTCAGTGAAGCTGGGTAAGGTGTCTTCTGAATTCCTTTTTAGTTTTAATGCTGAGTTTAGTAAGTTTGAGAAATATTTAAAGGGCCTATTGAGATAATTGGTTCATTATCAGAAAAGACCAGTGTTCTGTGAGTGAAAGTGAGCCTGGTGGAAGGTCAACCTTGGAGACACCCCCAGCCCTGTAGGCAACTAAGTCTCTGGGCCTGAAATGAAGGTGTGCTGGGAGCCTAATTAAAAAACGATTAAACGGACTTTGAGGTGAGAAACAGTTTACTTGCTTATTGATGCCAAATGAGTGAATTCTACAGAATATATACTTGGATTGCTATTTACTCTTTCTCATTTAACCACAATTTTAAAAGAATTGAAATCAAGAAATGCTATTATCCCAAATATTTAATTTCCCTTAAATGTTTACTGCATACTATTTCGTGGCATTCACTTGTTTTTAATATTGGTAATTGAGATGTGTGGTTTAGTGAAAAGTAACTATTATGTACTACCTCATGTCTGAAATACCTTCTAACTCACATGAACTTTAATTTCTGACATTTATTCCCATTTTACACATGTGATAGATAGGAAGATTATTAAATTGTTAGAGTGTGAGTCTTTTAAGGACTGGGATGTATTTTGTAAAATGGACCTTCAAGGAGTAGCTTATCATTTAGTCCTAAAATAGAGAAAATTGGAGCTTGATTAGCAGATTTGGGAATTTTCATTCCCTCTTAGTCTTTGTAGATAGACATGGTCTTAGTCCTATGTAAGTAGACATAGGACTGACCATTTGAGCATCTCTTGTAAAATCTGTGTAGTTCTACTACGTACAGATTTCCACCAGCAGATTCTCTCTGAAGATCAGTATTAGGCTTGAGCATTAGTTGTTTATCAGTCCTTGCCTGCCTCCCTACTGGTAATTTGTGCCTCAGACTTGTGTCTCAGCTAGACTTTTCCAGTTTGAGGAAAGGATGAACCAAAGGGCTTTGAAGTAAAGTAGGTCTGAAACGTTGGTTGTCGTTGACAGCTCTACTGTATCTAGTCACTTCTCCCTGTTTCCCTCCACTGCTGTCACTACCCCCTTTCCTTCTTTCCTCATAAACACCTCAACTTCTGTTGATACTGTATCTCTCCCCACCTGCATGTAAACTCCTTGTGGCCTTTTATGCCTTATAATCTGTGGGTCTTTTATAAGTGCCTTTTAAAGAGTGTGCCAGTAAGCCTCAGAATTGAAGTGGATTGAATGGAGTAGCCCAAGAAATATGCTTAGCACCGTACCGGCTGATAATAGGTGCTTAATAAATGATAATTCCATCCTCCATTCCCACTTTCACCTCCCTCAGTCTTCCCTCTCACCCTAAGCAGTAAGTTAATGAAGTATTTTACATAAAGAACATCACAAGACCAGAAGAACCTTGCCTTAGGTTTATAGCTGTAATAATAAACCACAGGCTGAATTAACATGACAGCAAAGTGTTTATTGAAGAGCTCTTCATGAAATTGTGACTGAAGACTAAGCAATCATCATGAACAATTCAGTAAACTTAAATGGTAACATAGCCCTGCTTTCTACACTTTTGTATAAGAAATTCAGACTATTCTCCAAGTACTAAATGTAGTGAGAGCATCACAAGTCTGGTTCTGTAGTCTGACTTAATATAGACAAATACTCTAAATGTTACAACCTCAATGATTCTGTGCTAAATTTAACCACTTCAGAGATACAACCTAGTAAAACTGCAGGTGTCCGGGTTCTAATCAAAGTTCTGTCTGGCTCTGTGGTTTTGAATCAGTTACTTAACCTCTGAGTTTAAGTGATATAAATTACTATTGTAAATCATTTGAGGCATGTGCCAAATTATGAATAAACTAACCCATGCACCAACTGCCCAGTCTACATTACTAATACAGATGAAGCCCATTTGCCCTTCCCTTTCATCTTTTCCTCTCTGCCCCAGAGGTCCTAATAATTTCTTCAATTGTAAAATTGGGGTATAAATATCCATTTTGTAGGGTGGTTCTGATTAGATGATAAATGTATGGAAAGTTCCTGTCACACTGACACATAGAGTTGGACTAAATGTCACTTTCCACACTGAGTTGTGTAATTGTGCAAATTATATACAGGGAAAAGATGCCACACATACGGGAATGCCAGATTTGTGTATTCATTCTTATAGTTTCACGATAGGTGGCAGTAAAGTGTTTTAGAAGGAAAAAATATCCATGCGATAAGTATTGCAGGTTAAAAGTCAAGTTTCTAATTGAATGAAGGCCACCCCCCTCTAACTCTTCCACTCTAATATTCTATCATTGTCTCTAGAATATTTCTTTTGAAATATTGTGAAGCAAACTATAATCTGGTGGCCTAGGGATTAAGGCCGGGCACTATCATCACTATCCCCAGCTAGGGAACTGACCCGCGCATAAAATGCAGCAGACCTCTTTTATCACCTGCTGCTCCCCTTAGCAAATGTATTTAAATCCACCTGCTCTGCTCTCCACTCTGTGGTGAATCCTCTCAACCCCCTGTACCTCTGGCCTAAATTCTAGTTCTTCTACATGCAAAAAAAATAAACCAAAAAACCCTATAATCTGATTTTGTGTCCCTGTAACCATAATCACCAGGGAATCTAAGTTACCACAATGTAAGTTCTTCCCCAGGTACCTCCTCCAGGTGGGAGCCTATGGAATGGCCAATCCATTTCTTGGACGAGTTCCTAAGGGAAATGGGTATTTCTGACTCAGCTTCATTCTTGCATCACCTGCTTTGATAGTTTCCTTAGCTCCTCTAATGAGAAAAAAAGAAAAGCAACAGCAGCTGGTAAGTGGTTTTCTGGCCTCACCACCCTGTGTCAGTCTCAGCTATCAGATAATTGTAGATTTATCTAGAAAGGAAGAGCCTTGCTTCTGTGTATTGAACAGTTATGGGAACTCCATTGTCAACTTCCTGTGAAGATAAAATACCTACAGCTCTCAGTACCGTGGAATGTACCTCATTC